TTCAGACTGTATGCTGCTGATGAGAATATGATCGAGTTCTTCAGTAACGTGAGATAATCTTTTCGTTATAATTTATCCAATATGGTTGTAAAAATGTGTAGTATAAATAATAAATTGTGCATTTTTATATTAACTTGCACTTACAGTAAATTAGTAGTCCTATTATATCAAACGTAGGGGAGAAGTAGTTCAACATTCCGGCTTATGTTTTGCGTATACTTCTTTTGCAGGATTGGCTGAAAGAATCAAGAGAAGGATACAAGGAATCAGACTTGACAAGCCAATGCACCTATAGGTGTTCTTTGATCTCTTTTTCTCTGTTTTTGAATGCCAATTTTTATATCCCTCCTGCTCGTTAGTCCCTAACTTTATTGTGGGTTTCTTCCAATTGTTAAATATAGGTACAAAATCTATATTGAAGGCTCAGCTTGGTCTGTTAGTGAGAAATACATTCTTGCCTGTGACTCTGTCACGTTTCTTGTCAAGCTTCATTACTATGATTTCTTCACAAGAGGCTTGATTCCCCTCCGGCATTACTGGCCTGTAAAGGAGGATGGCAAGTGCAGATCTTTAAAGTTCGCCGTTGATTGGGGCAACAGCCACAAGCAAAAGGTAACATTCTCACTTCATGTTTTAGTAAATGAGAAGGTCTCTATTCATTCAATTTTGTAGTATATCAAATCAGAAGATGTTTTGCTTTATTAGATCTCCACTTAATTATACAAGTCAGAATCTCCGGTGGCAAAAGGTAGTTTTAGGGTTATTTGCTAAGAAGTTACTGTCTGTGATCTAATGTAATATCCGAACCCAAACACTTTGACTTAACCCTGTTTGGCACAAACAGCTCATTTTCAAAAAATTCAGGTTTAAGTTATTAGCAGTAAAAGAATTACATCCATATATAGATTTCAAGGACGACTTAGTTTTCTAGCGTGAGATTGAGGTGTTCTAAGTCATGTGAAGTTAAATTTTTCAAACAACCTTGGAATTTGATGAATATAGCAATAAAGTAATTAACTCATACTTACTATCAAGATATTTTAGAATTTTCCCAACTTTTTATATTTATGTATATCATTTTCTTATATCCTACAATCCTTCAACAATTTAACAGGCACAGGAGATCGGAAAAGGTGCAAGTAGGTTCATTCAAGAGGAGCTAAAGATGGATTACGTGTATGATTACATGTTTCATCTCTTTAACGAGTATGCTAAGCTGTTGAGATTTAAGCCTGCAATTCCACAGAACGCAGTCGAACTCTGTGTAGAAACAATGGCATGCCCAAGAAATGGGACTGAGAAGAAATTTATGGAAGAATCTCTGGTGAAAGGTCCAGCGGAGACAGAGCCATGCACAATTCCTCCTCCCTATGATCCTCCCTCTCTCCTTTACCTTCTAAAATCAAAAGAAAAGTTGATATCCCAAGTGGATTTTTGGGAGAAGAAACATTGGCAGAAGAATCAAACTCAGTAGACATAGATTATCGACAATTTTAATATATAAAGATAAAAAGAGAAAACAATTTTGATAGCATTTTATGTATAGTAAGCTCATAGATATGAAAATACTTGATTATTCCAGTTAATTGCTATGTATTCTTGTGTTCTGTGGTTATATCAGAAAAAAAACTATTAGTTGGGATTGATTTCCAAAATAATTTAGAATTCATTATGTGAAAATTCAACTGGTTCGTATACGACGTATATAGCAGTAAAGTGTTGATTTCTGGTGTTTCATAGAGGGAGAAGTCTCAAGTTCGATGAAAATACTTGAACGAGACAAGGATAATGCGTTCTTAACTCTTCGCAAAACATTTTTTGCTTCATATTTACAGGTTTCTTGCATTCTTTTTTGGATTTTTGAGTAAATGTATCTTGAAGAAATTATAACACTTAAAAAAGTTGATATAATAAATCCTTTGTATGAGGGTTGAGCTTCTCTTTTTATTATTACAATCTAAACTTTATATTTTAAAAATATGATGGATTAGTTTAATAAGTAGATAACAATACAAGATGTAAGTTCACCTTCTTTTAGACATTTTTGAATGGAAATCGCGGAACAATTTTATTCGAAAAACCAGATGCTCGATTTGTAATGTAACTCAACTAAACAATCGATTAACTCTATGTTGGAGTCATTTTCGACGTTTATCCCACGCAAACTTCTTTATGTAAATCCATTTCCTACTCCACCTCCTCATCATATAGCATAGCCACTATATGCTCATAAGAAACATAGCAGCTTGAGAAATCTGGTTTAGCTTGTATGAAGTGTTTAAGATATCTTAATCCCCCTCCCAACTCTTTATGTTTCAATTTTCTGTTATCATTTGCTTGTCCTGGTTCATCATCACAATAAATTTTTCATTGGTAAAGTGCAAATTTAATTTGAAAATGAATTCATTCCAGAATTGTACTAAACATGTTCAAAAAAGAATTGCATAATATATTACATTAAACTATATGGTTAAGTATAAATCAAGTCAATGCAACCGAAGAAAAAAGAAGAGAAACAAAAAGATCAGAGAAAGAAGAGACAAGTTACAAAGAAAGATTTCTGAGAAAATGTGAATGATTGATAAGAAAGGCTCTTGCTTAATGTCGATGAAGATTGGCGACATTTAAAGAGCTCGACCTTTTACAATGTCAAGGCTCATTTCGCTAGGGTCAGTTGCTTGCAACTCGACTTGAATCCCGTCTAATTCTCTCTTGAATCTATCCTTGGAGCTTGCATACACCATCTTCATTCTTACCTTTGATGTATCAGGAGACCTAACCAACACAAAACATACTTCAATTTCCCATCTTAAAATCACCCTTACAAACTACACTACACACACACACATATATATAAGTATAATTAAATCAAACTTAGATCACATTTCATCAACTTAAAATTTTAGGAAAAAAAAAGGGTATTACCAGGCAATGAAGAAGATTTTGCTTTTCTGACAATTCTCGTCGGTAATGAAATCAAAATCATAAACAGCATAACGACATTCGTTGGGAGGGAGAGAAGCAGCGAAATCCTCGTAGGTTTCTTCAGGGCTTCCAAGTTTATCAACCACCACTTGTTGTCCTTCAATCCTGAAAATGATGAACCGATAGTTTCTCTTTGCTTTTAGCTCTAAAAACTTCAGCTTACATTCATCTCGTACTGCCATTCCAGATGCCGAGTTTGCCTATCATAAGCACTTCTTATTTTTCCATGATACAACAACTCAACATATATACAAATCTAATCTAATAATAGAAAAGTCTAACTTAGTTTTTCTCTTTTATACGATACAAGAGAAGAAGACAATTAATTTATTTGGATGAGAAACATAAGCACGATTGCTCATAATAAACTCTCTTATTATTAGACCACTTCTGCACGAAACAAGATTTTTCTCAAAGAAGCTGGAAGATTACTCAAAATGGTTTCATGTAAAAATTTTGGGTTAGTTCTTGTGTCAATATTCGTTATATACTGTTATTTGATGTATTGATAACTCTATCAAGAACATAACAAAGAATTTGAAACCATGATGTAATTAATTACAAAATATTTTATCATACTAATTATAAAAAATTAGCATTCCTTAAAAGACATCATTCAATCGTAAGAAGATTCATTAGAAAAAATATATATGTGTATATATATATATATATATATATATAAACTTAGACAAGAAAAAGAAGAAGAAGAAGAAGAGAACATACCATATTGTGGTTGAGAGAAAGAGAGAGAGGCCTGATAGAAAAGGAAAAGAAATGAGTAAAAGAAAGAAAGAGAAAAGGAGAGAAAATGGCAGAGTAGGTAAGAAGGAGAGATCCTTATTTTTGGGGGAAACATGGAGATGATGAGAAAAATGCGGTGAACAAAAGAGAGATTTCAGGGGTAAGACAGAGACTAACAACTCCTCTTAATCACATCCACAACTAACAGACACTTTCTCCATTCCCTTCTCCTTCATCAATCAAAACCTCACCTCCTTCGCTCATATATACATCCATGCAACACACCCACATATATACACATATCATAAAGCTCATCTCAAAATGCCCTATGATAAATTAATACCAAATTACAGAGCTTTCCACATTTGCTGGATAAGGTAATAAATCCCTCAAAAATACGTGGAGGGTCTACTATCATTTGTCAATGGGTCTTGTTTTGTTATCTCCATGGAATTTGTCGAAGAGATTTCCACATTCGCTGTCAATATATGCTAACAATAATTTAAATCCGTAATTTCATAAACCCTCTCTTTATCCACACCGAACCTGATTAACAATTTGATCTGGTTTCTTTTTATTATGTTCTTAAATTACCTAAATTTTTTCCAAACCCTTTTGGAACAAATTAATAAGGTTAGGAAGTTTGATAACTTGTAAGTTATAAGCCTAAAAAGATAAATACTCTTTAGATTTACAGAATCGTCTAAAGGTCTCCTAAAATCACTCGTCCTAGTAGTACTCTCACCAAATATGTTTAACTATGTAGCTCTAAGGGAATTTAATGCATTAGTACTGATATAATCGCACCCAGAATCATCTAAAGGGGCTGTCATCATAATGCAAACAAATGCCATGGCAATGTGAATATCATTCTGCAGCTTCTCACGAGGATTTGCACATAACTCAGTAAATATAATCCCTTTAAAAGTACAATATAAACAAGGTGAGATGAGATGAGAAAGGACGAGAGAACAAAAATTTAATTGTTTCTGCAATACTGAATATCATCGCTATGGCAGAGTTCACAAAACTGAGCTAGTAAATTTTATTAGAAGAAAGATTTTATCGAAAGAAGTTCACTACTTTCGGCCCCTGTTTTTTGGGTTTTACATTTCCAACTTTTGAATCAGTAGTATGATTAACTTTCGAGTCAGCTGACTTCTTCTTTTTACTGCTAGTAGGAGTGGCTTTTACCATGAAATCATCATCAAGCTCATCCCCACTCACAAACTTGGTCACCTGTCCTTTCGGTCTTCCTTCGTTTCCAGGTTCTGAAATCAAGAAAATAGGAGAAGGATAACTTAAGAAGCATTACAAGATAAGAGAATGGTAATTGCAGTTTCGTCCTTATGTAAAACCATTAGTCTTTAGGCCATCATCTTACAAGTTTTATTTTCTTTCCATAATTTTGATACCTTTAACCTAACTTCTGTATATTCATCTTTAGAAATTCAAACAATTTATTCCAGAAAAAAATAATAATAACAGTTCTACAGAAAATGAAAAGAAAAATCACTCAACTCTCACAAAGAAAACAGCAGGATGTAAATCAATACGACCAATAATAAGGGAGGAAACCGCACTTTGCCTTAAATTGAATAGACAAGAACTCTCATGAAAAAGCAGGAAATACCAACACCAGTACCATCTAATCCGCACTGTGTTCACCAATCACATAGGGATATCTGGTGCCCAACTGTGAGCTTCTACACATACTTTATACTACAAGGAAAAAACCATGTACACCACCACATGGACTAATGCAGCCTCTTATGAATCAAAACTTCAAGCAATATGATTTGATGGTCTCTCTTTCCCTTGATATCATTTCCTTCTAATCTCCGCTAATTTATTTTCATCACTAAACAGTTAAAACATCACCCATATAGAAAGTTCCTCAGCCATGAAACCCCACATGCAGGAGGAGGGTAGCCGCAGCATATGTTACATTACATTTTTAGGTATAGATTATCACATCATGAAAAATCATTGTAATTTAAGCAAACCTTCGAGAGGCTTGCCTTCAGGAAACATAACGAAAAATCCAAACATTTACCTTCTTTAAAAGCTTGAGCAGAATCTTTGTTGCTTTTATTAGGACAATCTCTGGCCAAATGTGTTACACCCCCGCATATTTTACAACCACCACCCTGTAGAAGGAACCATAGTTTGAAGTTATCAGATTCAGTGCAGAAGAAGAATGCTGGAATTCACCCAATCATTTGTAAACAAGCTGATACTTTTTAAACATGTAGTCCACAACCCAAGAAAATGCTGACCATGCATAAAATACTGGAATGGTAAAGCTTAGTATACCTTTGGGTAGATCCCATGAGTATTTTGAGGGCAGCTCTTGCTCAAATGACCTTGTTGGTTACAGATAAAGCAGTTAGCAAATTTTGCTCCCCCTGCAAGATCAATTAGAGCAACCATCATTCATTATAACAAATTATGGTGTTATGTTGAGTTTCAATGCAAGCAAGTGCAGAGTTTGTCCTTTTGTGGATTTGGTTAACCAAAAATAATGTGCAGTCCAAGTAATAGTAATCTTTAAAGATAATGACTAACCCTATGGTTGACCAGCTAAGAAAAAGTGTGCAGTAATGAGACATAGAGATAGGGAGTGAGATCGAGCGTTTTGTTAAATACTTATCCATTCACTCCCATGATAAGCTGAGGGAGCATAATCCAGTTTATATTTCCCATATCTAAAACACAAATTCTTTCGCTATAGTTAGTATATTGTGAAATATTATTTTTCTAATTTTATCTAACCTTGCCTTAATTAAAAGTAGCTTCTACAGGAGAAATTCAATTCTTCCTATTTGGGGAAATTTTAGCCACTAATCTGTCAAGACTTGAGAAGCCTTATTGAGTGTCATGTGGTGTTCATCCACTCTCTTTTATTTGTTTCCTTACCATTTAACTAGTAGCAGTTGTTACTGTTGAGGATTCTCACTGGTTGAGTCATGATGTTCTTTGTTATTTCTCCCTTGTATTCCAGAAGCATCTGCCAATGGTTGCTGAATTGGAGGCAGGTTATATCTCGTTTTTTGTGTAAGAATTGAATTCTCATGCATATACCAATCAAGGACAGATAATCTAAATCTTAAAAAATTCTCTCCTTTCTTCTTCTGCTTTCTCCTCTGTGTCCCTAATCTATTCTCTTCTCAACTGATAACAATTGCCCAGGTTTCATGTCTAGCGATCCTAACATAAAAAGAATTAGCAACACTCTGTCTTCTACTTCAAACCCCTCTGATCTCTCATATGGACATAGGAAGAGTAGGTCTTCAGATGGTAGGATATTAATGAATGTTCTTACAACGCAAAAGATCTATAATCTTATATTGAACTTCGTTTAAATTCCGATTCCATTAAATATGAGTAGAATAAAATACAATAAGATAAGAATTTGAATCAAAATAGCATTCTAATTCCAAATCAATTCAATTTCCAATCCAAATAAGGTGCTTCTATGATTCCTTCTTTAACAAGTGGAAATACAAAATTCATGATTGTGGAATAAAAATATGAGAAGTTTATTTAGTTATGTATCAAATGTGTAAATTATTGAATTTACATATAAAATCTAGCATAGTAAGAACATAAAAAAATTTCAACTAAATGTAACGCAAATGAATGACCTAACATAAGCATCCAAAAGTGGTGCAAAATGGGCTATGCCTAAATAGATTATCTTAATGTAAACCTATTATACTACTAGGACTCTATGTTATTCAAGAATATTTTTACAGTTTTAGTAACTTAGAGTTTTTATTTTTATTAGTATTATTTTCTATTTGTATTAAGATTAGAATTCTTATTTCTATTTAGATTATTGTATCCTAGTTTAATTCTACTTATGAAAGATTATTTAGATATTATTATAAATAACTCTGTCATTTCGCTTATTAATCATTCAATAATTCAATAATATGATACTTCAAACTTCTTAGATGTTATGTCTAAGAAATTCTATATGTAAGGTCTAGGTTGTTTTTATCCTTGAATTCCTACTTGCACAAATCAACCCCATTTATCCTACATCAAAAACTATATTCAACGGCATCCCTATATAGGTCATTTAGAACAAAGCCAATCCTGCAAACGAAGTTATTAAACATGAGGAAAGCCTCAGAACCAAAGAAATCACTAAATAGGTCATTTAGAAGAAAACCATCCATAAACCAAGTTATCTTAAGCATGAGCAAGTCTCATAACCAAAGAGATCACTGTATAGGTCATTTAGAAGAAAACCAATCCTCAAACCAAGTTATCTTAAGCCTAAGAAAAGCCTCATATACACATCCACACACACACACACACACACACAAACAAAGCTCATCCACTTTAACAGAATACTGCCAACCTAACACACATGACCCCGTCAGTTCTCCATCTTAACAGGAAATTTTGTGACAATTACATACAGAAATTAGGTCCATAAACAAGAACTTCTGTAATCAGAATGTATCTAACATAACACAAAATTACTAAGATGAATGATAACAGTAACCAATTCACAGTAATCTCGGTCCAAATGAAAATTAACTAACCATCTTTAATAGGTAAGGGACATTTAGCAAGTGAATGACCACTTTCTCCGCAGTTATAGCACATCTTCTTATCCACACTCTCATCTGCCTTATTAGGACAGTTCTTGAGACTATGCCCACGACGCCTACAAAGCAAGCATATCTGCAAGCACCATGACAACATGCAACAACTCCACCATCACTAAACACCGAGTAACAATAACCAGCTTACACAAAATTTCAAGACTCTGTTTGGTATGTAATCCTAATACCTACATATACATAAGTCTATTGTTTCTATTTTCAATTACCCTTTTCCTGTATAAACATATAGAAATCAGGAAATGAAAACTAGAACAATCCTTTTATTTACCAACACAGCCTAAGTTTAAGTAGCATTCCGTGATAAAGACAGCAAATAAACCAAAAGAAAAAACAAACTTCAAATTTACTACCAAGAGAACCATAACTTAATTCCTATTCATGATAACACTCAGATAAGAACTAGAAATCAACGAACACAAACCTTGTTCTTTTCCCATTCAGCTTTTTTAGGGCATTGTTTTGCGATATGATCCTTTTCCTTGCAAATAAAACAGCTCTCACCAGGCTTCATCCCAGGGATCCTTAACGGGTGTTTTCCGAGGCCTCGTTTAAAGGGTTTGTTTGGGTCTCTGGGTTCTTTATCGGTTTTTTTGCGCTTGAACATGCTCTTCTTTTTATTCTTCTTCTTGTTTGGGTCCTTCGGCGGTGTTGGCTCCGGTTTAGGAAACAACTCGGGGTGACCTTCCTTGTATCGTTTGCGGGCTAGTCTCTGTCTTTGGCTCACCATCTCCGCCGAATCTCCGAGCGAATGAATTTGTATTTCTGCGTGTGCGCGAGTACTGTGACAACGAAGAACCGAAGACTAGGAGAAGACGAAGACCAAGATAAAGATGTTTCAGCCGGGTCTGGGGAAGCTAAAGCCTAAAACAAAACCACACAAGGGTTCCCTCGAGGTTAGAACTCGGAACCGAGTCAACAGATTCTTCGAGATTATTAATACGGCGCCGTTTTTTAGCAATTTGTTTGGACCTCTTGCAGAGTGGCCCAAAAGTCCAGCCGCGGATGGAAAGTTTGTTGAAGCCCAACATAAGGTTTGGTGCTGAAATAAATATTCGATTTCAAATGACAATTTCGAAAACATGGGAAAAATCTGGGGGCGGCATCAGGGGTTAAATTAGATTAGTACGTAATCGTTGGATCTACATATGCTTGGATTGAATGTACTCCGGATTCAAATCCATTTAATGGCTAAAGTGGAAGCCTCACTTTTGGCAGCAAGACAGACATGCAGCCGAAGAGCCTATCTTGAATTGAAACATGAAGCGATTTAAAGGATTTGAAGATGAAGTAAAAAGCCAGCTAGTGCATTGGAGAATGTAACTCACAAGCCCATGATTGGCAAAAACTTATTTATAAGCCTTCAAAGATACATATAATATATAATACAAGAGAGAAGAGGGCTTCCTCAAATCTTTTTGAATAATGATGATTCAATTGACATCAGACAACTAGAAAATTCACTGAAAAAAAAAAAAAAAAAAGTAGAAACAACAGTAATATAATTTCTGCAGCTACTAACTACTAATTTTTCAATTTTGATCTGCTAGAAAAGGAACAAGTAATTCTAAATTGCAAAATATAAATAGAGTACTCCTTCCTTCCAGCTATAAAGTAAATTCTAAATTTTGTTTAGGCTCCAAACTTGGGGAGTTTAGCAGTTGAGATTTGAGCAAGGAAGTGCTCTGCCACGATTCTCCTCTGAATTTTCCCAGTTGCAGTCCTAGGGAGAGAATCTGTAATGAAAACTTTCTTGGGGACCTTGAAAGCTGCCAGATTCTTCTTACAGAATCTCACCACTTCAGGCTCATCAAGATTTGATCCTTCTCTTGGAATTACTGCACAGTTGATCTGTCGATCATATACCCACCAAAACCAAAAGAGTTAGTTTACCTTCGTCTTCGCCTATAATCCCTTTGCTTTCTTTCATGTTTAGTTCTTAAAATAATAATGTTCCACGTATAAAATCTGGTGTCTTAATTTTTTTTTTAATTTTCATTAGCTGCTAATTCACTTTGCACAGAAACTTTTTTAAAAATTGAACCAAGCTTCCTTGAAATATGCTAATACTTAATTATTTGTTTATTCAAGTAGCTAGAAATAGAATTAAAATTGAACCAAACTTCCTTAAATCTAAGGGAGGGAGTTGGTGCTGACTTCATCTAGTGAATTTTTTTCAGAGTTGATCTTTTTAACAGGAAAATGTCCCTGTCACAAAATTAGACCCACTCACACCACAAACTTGACTAAAAAGCTAAATGCAATTTAAAGTGCTGATGGTATAGGACACGGAAAGGCAATAAAAAAGATGGTAATTGGTTGTTTGTGAATTCAAGTAAAGGTGACCAAACTGGTTTCGTGAATCAATGATCACGTGGGCAGTGTGTGTGGTTTCAGATGAATATTCCTTGTGGGTTTCTTTATGGTGAAAAAATAAAGACCATCCAGTGAAAAAGAAAAAAGAAATCATTATTACCTCTTCACCGTATTTGTCGTCAGGAACCCCAAATGCGACGGCCTGAGCAATGTCCGGATGAGATAGAAGCACAGCATCCACTTCAATTGGAGAAATTTTCTCACCTAAAAATAATTACAAGAAAGAATTTTTTAACCGTTGAACTACTCTCAATCTGTCTTCCTAAGTTACTTAATAGAGAAGTAATTTAATATTATCTTGGTAATTTGCTTAACCAGTAGATTTGCCACTAAAAGAAAAGGCTTCAACTATATGGCATCTAACCCCTGTACTGTGTAGGCAGCAAGCAATAAAACCTAATCTACCCAAAAAGTAACAACAATAGCTAGCAATAAAGCCAAAAGCAGATTCAACGTGAGCTACAACTTGAAATTCACATTGACAAGAGCATTTCAAAACTCGCTAATCTTAATTCACCAGATTGCCAACACAGTCGTCCCCCACGTAAACAACTAAAATAATTATCATCAGAAGAGATTATCTGGGTTTCTGCAGTTCTGGTTTGCTCACTAGTCAATTATTTAATCATAATTAATATCAAAATATGATCTTCTTTCCAAGTACCAGTAAATGATTTTCAACTTAAATTCTTACCTCCACGGTTAATCAGCTCCTTGATCCGACCCACAAGATGCAAGTACCCGTCCGAATCGAGAAACCCGACATCTCCCGTGTGAAACCACCCGAATTGAAAAGCGGCTTTGTTTGCTTCTGGATTTTCTTTATAACCCCTAGTAACGTTAGGTCCCCTGATGCACACCTCACCGCTAGCTTGTGCCTCTTGTGGCGTACCATTCTCGTCCAAAATAGCCATCTCTTGACCCACCGGTTTACCCACTGACCCAGGCTTATGCGAACCATCTTCAGGCAAAGGATTTGAACACATCAAGTGGCTCGCCTCGGTCATCGCGTAAGCCTCCAAAACCGGCGCGCCAAATACCGCCTCGAGCTGAGCCAGAATAGCCGGCGCCAAGGATGCGCTGCAGCTTCGAATAAACCGAAGCTTCGGGTAGTCGGTTTCCGGCTTGCTTGAGTGGCGATCTAGAATAATCTGGTGAATCGTAGGGACCGCAGTGTACCACGTGGCTCTGTACTTCTTCATGTCTTCCCAAAATGTAGAAGCCGAGAATCTGCCAGCGGCTGGCAGAGTCACGGCGCCACCAGCACCTAGGGAGCTAAGAAGCGCAGCTAACAAGCCGTGAACATGAAATAGCGGTAGGACAATCACGGTCGAGTCAAACTCAGTGAGTCTGTAGACTGACATAAGGTTTTTCACCGAGGAGGCCAAGTTGAGCTGAGTCAGTGGCACTCCCTTGGGCCGGCTTGTGGTGCCAGATGTGTGGAGGAAAAGCGCCACGTCGGATGGGTCATTGGCGAGTTTCGTAATCATGTTGTGGTCCAACTCAGGACGAGGAAGCGAAATATCGAGTTCTGAGTCAGCAGAGGGAAGCGTCACGCTCGCCTGCGGGATGTTGAGCTTGGAAGCCGCAGCTTGAGCCGAGTTGTTACCCTCTTTCGATGTTAACAACATTTTTGACTCTGAATCGGACAGGTAGAACTCGAACTCCTCGGTTGTGTAGGCTGGGTTCAGCGGTGCAGCCGTTCCTCTTGCGCGTATTACAGCCAGAAACATTATCACGAGCTACAAAAAATTAAACAAAAATTAAACAGAGAAAACGTTTCTAGATATTAAATCAAACTACAGAGAAGAACAAGATGCTAATCATTAATATTTCCCTTCTCGTCAAAAACAAACAACCAAACAGTTTGTTTTCTATCATTTTCCCGCCAAACAAACGGAAAAAGAAATCAGAGAGAGAGAATAAACCTCAACAGTGTTTGGGAAGGTGAGTGCAACAACATCGCCAGGTTTAATCCCGGCGGCGACAAGGCAAGCGGCGGCGCCTTCAACCAGTTCGTGAAGACGAGCGTGCGTCAGATCGAATTTTCCAGATACTGAAATAGCTCGCCGGTGAGGAAATTCACCGGCGACCCTTTTCAGTAATCCGGTGAGCGTTAAAGTCTCCATATATTCCCTTTTTCTTTATTTCCAGAAAATCAAGGAAGAAGATAACAAGCAAGACACAGATGAATATTTAATTAGTTCAAATCGATAAGAAAGCTGTCGAGAATAGATCGGTTTGAAATGGAGCAAGACGATCACGTATATATATATACACAACGAATTGAAATAGCGTAGAAAAGAAGAACGAGGATAAGATGGCGATTTTCTCGGTGAAGGCAGTTCTGGGGCAGGCTTGCCACGTGGCAACACCCAAAGGTTTTGAGATACAGATAATTCCATACAACATTCACCATTTTATCACCCTCATTTCACGCTGTAAAACTTTGTACGTTAGCAAAACCAAAAAATTCGAAAGTAAAAAGTGCAACCATGTAAAGCGAGATAATGGAGAGCGTAGCGTGTAGATACTCCCATAAGATTTTAAGCTAAGGCCTCGAGAGTTGCACCGACGGGTAATCTCGTGAAGCGTGTCATCCTGTAAGATCGACACGTGTCCCAGCGCGCATGACGTGGACTCTCGGCGTGTGTTCTTCCATTGTTTTTATTTTCGAGTCGTTGAGAAACGACGACGTATATTTGCATCCTTAAGCAACGGGAGGACGTTTCTTCCCACACGTGGCGACCGTTTGATCGTTGAATAAAAGATTAAAACGTCCCGATATTTGTCGGGGCCCCACAAATTTTTGTTTTACTTATTTCTTGATTTAATAATATAAATTTTTAATAATTTATTTATTTTTTAATTTAAAAGAGAGATAATACGCGCATTGGAAGCCAATTTGGGAGCGAATACTTGCCAACCGAATCCCCCATTTCGATCGTTTTAAGCTCAGCACGAAACGTATGCTTAAACCAACCGCCTCCAAACTTGATCAGTCAAAAGCGACCCATCGAAATCACCATGAGCCATTCTGGTTATAATTTTTGGTCACGAAACTTAATACATTTATCGTACAATAAAATTCAATTATCTCAAAAAAAAAAATAATAATAAAATAACATCGAATATTTAAAGAATATATAATTTCGTATAAATATTATAAAAAGTATTTTAATACAAAAGGGTTACCGTCATCTACTTACTATACATTCGAATTAAATTTAATTAGAAAATAAGTTGTTCTACTTGGACAGTAGTGCTACGGCATAGAAGAGTTATCGCCTCTCAACTTGATCCTCGGACCGACCCTCGTACATTATCTTTAAATAACGACAAATATAGTTTATAAATGTACCAATAAATAAAATATTCCAAAAATTGACAAGTTGCTCGTAATGTTTGCATCTAATTTTTAATGTTGTATTTTTATTGTTAACTATATTGCGTGAATATATGTAAAATGTATTATAAAATAAAATATATTTTTTTTTAATTTTCGAACAAAATATATATCCTTATAATTTTCTACTATAAACATACTGAATTAACTTAAGCTAAAGTTATGTAAAAGAATTAAATAAATTAATTTAGATTATTTGGGAAAGTATAAGAATATGATAGCAATTTGAACCTACTTTCAAGAAAACCAGATTAGGTCATTGTCTTGTCTCTACTTTCCAAATTCTTCATGTTTGTTAATACATAGAGGGTATACGTAAATATGATGACATGCGCATATATATGTGTATTATAAGTACCAAAACCACTATGAATTTTAAATTCATCAACATGCAATTCTTTTTACATTAAAGTTGAGTGCATGGATAATTTAAGATTGAACGTTTACGAACTCGAACTTGTTCTGATTTAGAATGAGAAAAATCAGTTCGCCTTAAACCCGAACGCGATCCTTTTTATTTGAGCCAACCGGATACCCGACCTTATGTAAACCGACCACCTAAGGCGTACATCTTATCTTAATAAGCAAAGGCAATCTAGGCCCATAAAATTAGTTTATAATGCAGAAACATATTCAAACAGAAAATAAGTTCCCATATTTCCAATACGACATCGTATCAGGAAAAAGGGAGATGAAACATGGATTTCCCCGTATCTTCTTCTTATGTTCGATAGCTCACTTTGTACTTACTACGGCAATGGCCTACTGTAAAATATGTGTTTCATTTTGTTTATTTATTTATTTATTTTTTTAAAAAATACATATTAATATTCTCGATTGTAATAAAGTTTATTTTTTTTAAAAAAAGATTGATGTATTACCCGAATTTGATTTATCGAGCTCGATGGAAAGAGTTTAATATCATCGGACCGGCACCCATTTTGCTTCGAAATTATTTTATATGTCCATTCTTTACAATAAATTGGGTTTATTCTATTATGTAAAACATGAAAATGCTAAGTAATTTAATACTCGTTAGTTGTTAAAAAAAATAATTATGTTATTTAATTTTTTGAATTATAATTTTCTTTTTAAAAAATTATAATCGTGATCACTGTTGATATCAGTGAATAAATTAATATATATATATATATATAGAAAGTAAAAATATGGTAAAATATGTTTTGTAATATAATCAATCACACCCATTACAAAAGCACACAGACAAAGATGGGTATGTTCCCCTTGAATCTATCTAACTCTAATATAATTTTGAAGCTAACACCTTAATTCTCGGCCTTGACATGGCGGATCAGTGTGGATCCATGCAGAGAAACGACAACGCATAAGGGCCTGGCCACTACAACGTAGCTCGACGGAGCCTCATTATTATTATTATTACAGGCCGTATATATAACTATATTTGAACCTAAACGTAAAGCACTCTATTATAAAATTTTCTCTTCCCTCTCAATTGGAATTTCAACTGTAATATACTTATTGAGAAACAGGCGCCACGGCCGGAGCCACGGAGAACTTGACAGGGTTAATGGGTCCAGGCGCCACAATACCAGAACTTTTGATCTCAGACATTTTTCTGTGTGAGTTTCCTGATCCTTGTTCACATAAATCAGGAAGAAAAGCACCTAAAACCAACAAACCAACAAGTAAATAAATTATCCTTTTAATATGGGTGTCTGTAACTAATGGTGTTAATAATTGCATGTATGTAAATATATATATATATATATTTATACCTTCACCGGCAGCGAGATTGAAGTAAAGCTCGACGACATTGGGGCAGTGGTTGTAGCAATGGGTGGAGCAGAGTTTTTGCGTGAAGCGAGAGTCGAGGAGAGAGTCTGATGAGATGCCGAGCGACTTCCGATCGAGGCCACAAGCGCCGACGCACTGGTCGGTCTCTACCCAGTTGGTGAGTTCATGGGCGTCAATCTCTGATGTGCGGCACGTGAATTTTTCCTCCCCGCTCCTCTTTACGCTCTTCTCTAGCACGCATCGCTTGCCTTTCCATGACACTGCAAATGCGCATCTCTCCCCTTCAAGTTTCTCACATACTATCACTTCCCCTGTACCCAATTCCATTGTTAATTCAATATATATCTATATATATATGTATATATAATTACGAAACTATATTCAGACAGATACGAGTAGAGGATACCTAGGGTGGCTTGCACGAAGATGGCAAATGCACACGCGAAGATTGCCAGGGTCGAAATGAAGGACGCCATTTTTGTGCAACACTAAACTGGGAAGCAAGTACTGGATTTCTGTGTGTGTGTGTTTGTGTATAGATGTTCCTATATATGTAAATGAGTTAAAAAGATAAAGAATAAGAGATTGGGTTGTGCTGTGTGAAGAATGATGGAGGAGTGAATGAAAAGGGGAATTTATAGTAGTGCTGGTTTGAAGAAACCAGGTTACACGCATAAATAATGACCGTCATTTTAATTAAGAACCTTCAAGGTCCAGACTTTTGCCCTACGAACACTGTTAGAGAAAGATGCGTCATCACTGTTCATTGACTCCACCAAGAGAAAGCTTACTGGTCAATTTTGGCCGCCATCTATGGCGATTGCTTGACTTCGACCTAAAATGCCATAGACGATCCTTTGTTTATTAATTAGGCTCAATATTACGTTGAAAAATAAATAAATAAATTGTATTTATTATAATTTGATACCCAATATTTATATTTATTTTAAATGTTTATTTTCTTTCATTATCTAATTGAATTTATAATGCCAAAGTTTAAATTTAATGTAAATTTAAATGTAATTTTTTATTTTTTTATTTTAATTTAGAGTAAAAATGAAGTAAATTTGATGGAGGATGAAATTAAAAATAATTTTGGGAAAAATGGGTAAAATTTTGGGTTCTTGGTGTATTTTTTGAAAGAAAAATCAGAAACCGAATGTCGAAATGCAATTTAGAAAAGTTTTGTTATGTCGGATGCCCGGTTAGCAGCCCCAACGAGCCAGGACGTCCTGCGTGGCAATGAGCGGTGACATGGTGCCACGCGGGCGATCTGCTTGCCTGCGATCGAACAACTCAGATCCGTTCCTGCGCGCACGAACGGCTCGAATGCGTTCCCTCTCCAAACACGATCGGATGGTTAGATTTAAACGCGATCGGACGACTCAGATTAAATCGCGATGAACGGTTCAGATTGGATCGCGATAAACGGTCCAGATTCGCTCCCTATTTAATCGCGATCAGACAGTACAGATCAAACGCGATGGACGGCTCAGATTAAAAGACGATGAGTATAAATAACACTCTTCACACAAAACCCTAAGCCTAGCCGCCAGTCACCCTCACGGAGAAGAAGACCCAGCTGCTAGGAAGGAGAGCCGCCGCCACTTGTTGCCACACCGGAGCTACTTCCGACTGCCAAAAGAGGTAAACAATTTTCCTTTTGTTTGGAATTCAATTTTAAACACCCCATGGCCAAATTAGAGAAAAAAGACTAGCCGATTGGTCGAAAAATGCGGGTAAAGCCCGGCAGCACCGCTGTGGGAAATTTCACAAAACGCCTCCGATGAGACACTTCTCGATTCCCATTCTTCGTAATTTTTCCATCATTATGATCATCGTTTCCTTCTCTACAAGTTGACCGGAGCATAACACCCAACTGCAACGTGAGTCGGAGGAGTCGTCGCACTAAAGAGCCCCGCTGCCGGTGAGTTTTGATTTTTTGTATTTTTTCAGTCAATTGAAGCCTCTTAACGTGTTTTTCGCAGGAATTGATGTAAAATCGGCCAAATTCGGCCCAAAATAGCCAACCCGAGGCGAACCGCTGCTACGGACAGCGGTGCCGTCGCCGGAGCATAGTGAAGCCGTCGTGTCGAAATTCTTGATTGGCCAAAATAGACCTTAAGACTGATTTTGGGTTTGTTTGGGATATTTGTAGGTACTTGTAGTGCGTTTTAATCTCCAAATGAAAATTTAGGGAACTCGGGGACCGCCAGTAGGTGCAGTCAACAGCTTAGCCTTTTGAGCATCAAATTGAGTAAGAATCCCTCACCCTATTCTCTGTCATAGAATTGAAGTTTAATTAACAATAAATACGATATTTTGTTATAATTTATAAAATGTGCCTAATTAATTATAGATTACTAATGGAGCCAGAATTGAAAATTTTCTACAGTTGTTCTATTGATTATTTTTACAGTTTAAATGCATGATAGTACCTTATTGATTGATTTTATAGCTTTGAATGCATATTTATTTGATTTATGTGATTGCCATTGAATTGAAAAAATAGAGACTAAAGAAAAATGAAAAATTATGTGATTAAGTGAATTGATGAAACAACAGCCTCATTGGATATCCTGGGAGATGGTGGACGGATCAGGTATAATAGAGAACCCTACCGTGAACGTTGTCTCATACCGGACGGGGTATCGAGATTTGATAATTTGGTGCTTATACCGGACGAGATATGGGGACGGCCCGCAATTGAGAATGTTAAAGAAAAGGGTTCACGCGTAGCGGAGACATCCCTATAAACCCCCATAGATACCAGCAGGCTGATAAAAAGGAAAAAATGTTATTTTAATGATTTGAATACGAAAGTATAATATGTGCTATGTTGCCGACTATATATGAAATCATGATATGTATAATGTTATTGTTTTTATAGATTGTTTTTATAAATCTTACTAAGGTGAGTGGACAGTAAATTATTTTATTATTGATAAATGAATTTACTTAATTAAGTGTTTCATTAGTTGTTTTGATTTTCTACCAACATTCTTTTTTGTGTTGGTGAGTTGGCGTGATATTCTGACTGGGCTAGTGTAGCTCATTCCTTATTTAACAATTTCAGATCAAGATGACCAGAATCTAAAGTCCGATCTACAAGAGGGTTGCGAGTAGAATGCTTGTTTTATTTACTTTTCGCTTATTTCCTTCTTTTTTTGTACTTCTTTCAAAATGGTAATTCCCGTAGCACTATTCGGTATTTTAAGTTATTGTGTAAGGAATGTAAATCTTAATATTTTATCATACTTCCGCACTTAAATTATCATTTATTTCCTTTGGATATTTTCGATATCGTTACAGTTGGTATCAGAGTCGCGTTCCTCATACCTATTTCTTACACAAAACCCTTACCAAACACTAAAAATAATGAATTGTCACTTAACTGTTCTTTGTGAAATGTAGGTACAGATAGATGAGGAAATGAAGACCCCACTAAACCGAGCAGCCCGAGAGCATTCGCTTAGAGAGGATGTTGACCGATTATTTGAGATGGTGGAGAGACTTATTGCTGCCCAGTCAACCTGAGAGGAAATGAGGGAGCTACCTGACCCTCCCCTGCTGCCATAGGTCGAGCCACCCCTATTGCGGGAAGATCCCGAGCCACTTCGATATGACCCTGCTCCTCCATAATACCACTTGGCACCATCACAGTATGATTCAGTGTCCCAGCCACAGTACCACCCGGCACCACTACAGTACAATCCGGTGCCCCCACCATATCATCAAGTACCACCACATGGTCATCCAGTCCATCCTCAGCACATTCCACTCCCTCTTCCATGAGACCCAGCTCCTCCCATGATGGACACAAGCTACACAGAAATGTATAAAAGACTAAATCTTTTTACTTTTGCAGGGAAATCCCCCTTTGAAGAGGCTGAGTTCTGGTTAGTTGAGATAGAGAATGCTTTCAAGACCCTTAGGGTGATTTCCGAACAGAAGGTCATCCTTGTTACCTACATGCTAGTGGGAGAAGTAGACTACTGGTGGCAACTCAAGCAGACCACTCTGCCCTTCATAGTCACTTGAGAATAGTTCATGACGGCCTTTCATGTAAAGTACCTCCCAGAGCATCCCCGACATCTAAAGGAAATGAAGTTTGCACACTTGGTCCAAGGGAACATGAGCGTATCAAAATATGCT